TGATTGAAAATGTCTGACTGAGCAAGAGTAATGCAATAATGGGTTGCTAACACAAACACCTGAAATATTCACTTGGTTCAGAGATAACTATGTGGCATGTAGACATGATTAATGTACGAAAAAAGATGATAGGAGTTCTCAGCAAGATATGTGTCACACTTGTTAGAACAGACAAAGTGCAGCTCCATTCGAGCACTATAAATTACCTTAGCTCTTAGGTGACCCAAATTTCTGCGTTTGAGAACTGTGGTGATGTGGTTTCAGGATTTATAACATTCCCATGTTTGAAAACAGAGAAGTGACTTCAACATTCGCAAGGCATGTGAAAAAATAGTTACCTGTCCTCTTCTAGGATGCTGTGGTCTAGCCTTGTACAACCAAATAGATTATGATTTCGTACTGAAAATGGCATACAAATAGGTAAGGTCTTTCATCTGTAGTGAGAATATATCATTATATAACAATAGCAAGCGTAGGAATTAGAACATGCATATCAACAAAACTAACAAACATTTAAACACAAAGTCAAGGAACAAATTTTAATGCTAACTATGCTAATAGCTGAAGAAACTGCTTGTTTTCAAATAATTCAGCCTTGGGCATGACTCATTCCATTAGGGGGAAATAATCATTTCAATCAATCATATTTACCTGTCGAAAACAATACATGGAGGAACATAGAAGAGTTGTTCCTTGCTTACGAGAACCTACTTAGAATCCCTAAAAATGTTGCTCCAGCATATCCATAGGTAGAAGAGGATGTATAAATTAAATCCTCGGGTAATTAGAGCCCAAATTTGTAGAACCATACATGCACATTGGGAGTGGCCTGTAGGTACCTTCGCAGCTGAAATGCACGTTAGCAAAGCAATAAGTGCCGAGCACATCTCACATGGGCATTCCATCGAGCACATGGTGTGCAACTCCTCTGGAGTCTTTCACATGTACCTGCGAACACAACATGCCTTGGTCGTCTCAACAAAGAGAACAAAAGGAACTGCATAGGTCGTCAAGAGAGAGCGAGCAAACTGGCGAGCGGACGGCGCGAGCACCGCCAGAAGCCGTCGCACCAGAGGGAAGCCCTTGTTCTTTCCCAAATTGGGGCAGAAATCGGAATCCCCAAATCCTACTGCACCCCTGACCCTAAGGCAAAGAAATAAGGCCATTCACGTACATTAAGACGGCGAGGAACTCCACCCTGGCCGTACTGGCCCTGCGCGAGCTGGGCGCCGGCGACAATGAGGGAGCCGCGCCACCGCCACTACTGTCCTACGCGGCTTCGTCTCCGGCAAAGGGTGCCGACCGAGGGGCCACTTGACAGTGCCGCGTGATGTCGCACTCGTGCGCCGGTGAGGGGCACCCCGGCGGTGCCACCGTCAGGCGCCATGCCTTGATGCTAGGGCCATGCATGCCAAGCCGGAATGGAGCTGAGGTCCGAGGAGGAGGTCTGCGGTAAGGGCAGAGATTGTAGAGGGGGCGGAGGAGGCGGTGGGAAATTTGGGACTACATGTTCGAGGAGGAGGTCTGCTGTCGCGTGTGGAGGAGAGGATAAGGGCTGGCCGGCAACGGAGAAGTTTCTAGAGAGCCACGTGAGGACGGTTGATGCGGACGGCAAGCACGGAAGTTTCTGGAGGAAAACGTGACCACATCTGCTGTGCTTGGGAAAATGGAACAGACGGCTGGAATGGGCTTATTGGTGATGAACAGTGCAACAGTGTTTGCCGAGCACATCTCACATGGGCATTCCATCGAGCACATGGTGTGCAACTCCTCTGGAGTCTTTCACATGTACCTGCGAACACAACATGCCTTGGTCGTCTCAACAAAGAGAACAAAAGGACCTGCATAGGTCATCAAGAGAGAGCGAGCAAACTGGCGAGCGGACGGCGCGAGCGCCGCCAGAAGTAGTCTCACAAGAGGGAAGCCCCTGTTTCCCAAATCTGAATCCCCAAATCGGGACAGAAATCGGAATCCCCAAATCCTACTTCACCCCTGACCCTAAGGCAAAGAAATAAGGCCATTCACGTACATTAAGACGCCGAGGGACTCCACCCTGGCCATACTGGCCCTGCGCGAGCTGGGCGCCGGCGACAATGAGGGAGCCGCGCCACCGCTGCTACTGTCCTGTGCGGCGTCGTCTCCGGCAAAGGGTGCCGACCGAGGGGCCACTTGACAGTGCCGCGTGCTGCCGCACTCGTGCACCGGTGAGGGGTGCCCCGGCGGTGCCACCGTCGGGCGCCATGCCTTGATGCTAGGGCCATGCGTGCCACGCCGGAATGGAGCTAAGGTCCGAGGAGGAGGTCTGCGGTGAGGGCAGAGATTGTGGATGGAGCGGAGGAGGCGGTGGGAAATTTGGGACTACATGTTCGAGGAGGAGGTCTGCTATCGCGTGTGGAGGAGAGGATAAGGGCTGGCCGGCAACGGAGAAGTTTCTGGAGAGCCACGTGAGGACGGTTGATGCGGATGGTTTCTGAAGGAAAACGTGGGCAGATCTGTTGTGCTTGGGAAAATGGAATAGACGGCTGGGATGGGCTTACTGGTGATGAACAGTGCAACAACGGTTTGCCGAGCACATCTCACTTGGGCATTCGATCGAGCAGATGGTGTGCAACTCCTCTGGAGTCTTTCACATGTACCTGCGAACACAACATGCCTTGGTCATCTCAACAAAGAGAACAAAAGGAACTGCATAGGTCATCAAGAGAGAGCGAGCAAACTGGCGAGCGGACGGCGCGAGGGCCGCCGGGAGCAGCACACCAGAGCGAAGCCCTTGTTCTTTACCCAAATTGGGACAGAAATCGGAATCCCCAAATCCTACTGCACCCCTGAGCCTAAGGCAAAGAAATAAGGCCATTCACGTACATTAAGACGGCGAGGAACTCCACCCTGGCCGTACTGGCCCTGCGCGAGCTGGGCGCCGGCGACGATGAGGGAGCCGCGCCACCGCCGCTATTGTCCTACGCTTGTGCGTCGTCTCCGGCCAAGGGTGCCGACCGAGGGGCCACTTGAGAGTGCCGCGTGCTGCCGCACTCGTGCGCCGGCAAGGGGTGCCCCGGTGGTGCCACCGTCGGGTGCCATGCCTTGATGCCGGGGCCACGCATGCCACGCCGGAGTGGAGTGGAGGTTCAAGGAGAAGGACGGTGGTGAGGGCAGAGATTGTGGAGCAGAGGAGGCGGTGGGAAATTTGGGAACTACAGGTCCGAGGAGGAGGTCTGCTGTCGCATGTGGAGGAGAGGATAAGGGCTGGCCGGCGACGAAATTTGGGAACTACAGGTCCGAGGAGGAGGTTTGCTGTCACGTGTGGAGGAGAGGATAAGGGCTGGCCGGCGACGGAGAAGTTTCTGGAGAACCACGTGAGGACGGTTGATGCGTATGGCAAGCACTGAAGTTTTTTTGAGGAAAATGTGGCCACATCTGCTATGCTTGGGAAAATGGAACAGACGGCTGGGATAGATTTACTGGCGATGAACAGTTCAACAGTGTTTTGCTAGCTCAGAAACTAAGTATCTTATATATATAATATGATATGGTACGATAATTTGTATTCCTTCCGTCCCTAAATAACTATCGTTGTTGCTGTACGTGTCATAAGTTTGACCCGATTTATAGAAAAATATGTGTAACATTTGTATCTCGAAATAAATTTATTAAAAACTAGATTTAAAGATATTTCCAATGATACTAACTATGTACCATAAATATTAATATTTTATAATATATATTTAGTCAAAGTTGTTTCTCGAAAACGAAAACGACATATATTTAGGGACAGAGGGAGTCCCTCTGTACCAAATAGGGATAAAATGAAAATGATAATTTCCGATTTTCGAAAATCGTTTTCGAGTTTTTTTTTTTTTGATTTTCAGGCCCAAATGAAAATGGTAGCGGTAATGAAAAAACGATAACGATAACGATAAAAATAATCGGAAACGAAAGCGAAAATGATTTTGTCCTCTTCTAACCGCTTTCGAAGATTGCCGTATTTAGTTACCGATTCAAAGGCTTTTGAATCCTAATTTATTTATAGACTATGTAATACATATACTTTAGGTCCAGTTGGTCCACATGTAAGCATCCTATCTGCACACGCAAGCACATAAGGCAAATATTTTTATGGAAAGGAACTTTACGGCAAGTATTTCATCCGTATAGGAACGAGGCAATCAGCCAATCACATATTGCATCACCCTAATTCTAGACAGTCACCACGAACACGAACAAAATCTAAGGTTTAGCTTGTTTGAGACCTAAGATGGTGTGAATGGTGGTTTTAGCTTGTGGTCTTGTCAAATGTGCCTTTATTTATTGCTATTGTCATGCGAGATAGATTGAGTTTTATAGCTCTTCTCATGTTCTACGGTTCGTTGTGTTTGTCGTTTTTTAGGATAATCGCTCTTATGGATTTCGATCATTATCGATGTATTCCAATCGACTACTATCGTTTTCGAAATTACCGGAATATCGATGTCGTATTTGTTTCCGACAATATTGTATCACTTTTGTTTTCAAGAAAAAAAAAGTGAAAATGAAAGTGATTTGGCCTCCTATCAACCATCATTTTCATCCCTAGTATCAAATGATAAGTCATTCAAACTTTCTTAGAGAGTCCAAGTACGATGAGTTTGACCAAATTTTTGAATAAAAAAATGATCAAATTTATATAATAAAATAATAATATTTATGATACTAAGTGTTATTAGACTTTTTATTAATTATATTTTAATAATATACCTATTTAATGTCATGGATCTTTGTAATTGTCTTCATAATTTTGATCAAACTTAGAAATGTTTTGGCTCTCCTAAAAAGTTGGAATGACTTAAATTAAATGCAGATCGGAGGGAGTGATATTACGTCATTATTTGGTGATCTATGAGCCCGTTTCTTTATTCCCAATTTCCCAATAGCCGCCGTTTGGATCAAACGCAAGACAGCGGTGAAAAGTGTTCACCTACATTCACCACATTTTTTTTTTGAGCAGCATGAAACTGATAACATTCTTACAGAATCGATGGGTTACTAAACTGAGAGCAGCCAGCATAGGACATGGAGATACATGAGTAGAATTTGTACAGGAGGCAGAGAAGATCAGAGTTGAGGACTCTGAATCTACAACCGCCTGTCTGGCTAATATGTCTGCTGTGTGATTCTGGTTCCTGGGGACCTTGTAAAGCCTTGTACTTCTTTTCCTTCATGTGGTTGATGAATGATTGAGTGAGATGCTTTATTCTCCAGTTCGGTGGGTTTGAGCCGTCTGATCTATTGAATAAGTGGACCAGTTGCTGATTATCTGACAAGAAGTTGATGTGGTGTACATTGAGTGTTTCAGTAACTGCTGCAGCCAATGCCAGAGCAGCAGCCTCAGCCATGATCACTGAGGATGAGTCTGACATTGTGGCTTTGATATATATTTGTTCCGGTGGATGAACTTGCATGTTTATGATAAAAACTCCAATCCCAGCAGTCCTTGGTAAAGAGGAAACTGCATCTGGGAGGATAGATGCATCAGTATAGCATCTGGCACTACTTAGAAGTGCAGGAAGGTGGACCGTGAAGCTGTTGATCATATCCCTTGGTGACCTGTTCGCCTGGCAGCGTGAAATTGCGGCACCTGCATCAGAAGCATTTATACCTGTGGGTGTGACCGTGAGACATGGAGAGTTATCCGCTGGGATATCCTCCTGTTCATTCATTGTGGTGGTAGCCAAGTCTGCAGTTGTAAGATGGGCAGCAACAGCATGATGGACCTGCCAAGTAGTCCAGGTTTTTCTAGCAAATCTTTTGTCATTTCGAGCTTTCCCAATGTACCGTAATGTTGTCAGTATTGTTTGCAGTAAGGAATTTTCAGTTGTATCAGAAATGATAAGAGAGAGGATAACCTGAACTCCATCATCTTCCATCGGGAGTGAGTCCGATCTGAGTGGTGTGGTAGCTGAAAACCAAACTGCTCGAGCAAATTCACAGTGAAAAAATAAATGGGCATCCGTTTCAACTAATCCACAGGTGCTGCAATGTTCATCAATGTGGGATGAGAATCTTGCAGCTCTAGCCCCAGTAGCTAGTGCATGAAGAATGGGCCTCCATGTGAAAGTCTTGATGATAGGAGGAATGTTTTTGAGCCTCCACGCTCTCTGGAGAATTCGGTTGGCCTGTTGGTGGATACTCCTTGATCCCGTCGATGGTAACTGGACCTGGTTTTAAAAGCTTAGAAATCTGTAAATGTTTTTAGTGGTACAGCTGCCTTTTTTGGCCGGAGTCCACCTGAGAACGTCGTCTTGTTGGCTGTGAACCGGTTTAACCTGCGAAATAACTTGAATAGCATGTGGGTCAAAAATGTTAGAGAGCAGGTGGAGGTTCCAATTGCGGGTGTTAGGGATCCAAAGGTCGGACACCACACTAGGCAAGGGATGGTGAGTGACCGGCAAAAGTAGGTGGTTGTGAATGGAATCCCAAATAGGGCACCAAGGGGAAGACCAAATGGAGGTGCTACTATCATGAATCTGGTAAATAACATTCTGATGTAGTTCTTTTTTGACCTTCAGGATGGAGGGCCAAAAGATGGACCGAGGTCCATCAGGAGTGGCCGTCCAAAAGGAGGTGAGGTGTTCTGAAAATATTTGGCTTTCAAGATGCTTGTAAGAAAAGGATTTTTGTTGGTAGCAAGGTTCCATGCAGCATGGGTAATAAGGCTCTTATTAACAGTATAAAGGTCTCTGATGGCCAGACCACCATTATCAATGGGTTGGCAGATATCATCCCAGGAGCGAAAGGCAATGGGGTTAGAAGGGTTATCATCCTGGACACCTGCCCACCAAAATCTACGGATGATGGCATTGATCTTCTCAACAAAAGTTTTTGAGAAGAGAACTGTGGACATGTAGTAGACAGGAATAGAGGCAAGGACTGATTTGATGTAGGTGAGTAAGCTGCATAGTATTGGGGAGCAAGTCAGGCACCTGGAAAAATACCACGAATCTGGGATTTAGTATTGTCGTCAATATTCTTACTGAAGAGAATTGACGATTCCTGGAGGTTGGGGACTTGGCCAGAGAGCTGAGAGAATTCATGGAAAATGGTTTTAATGGACGCAGCCTCAGCAGCTGAGGCATTACCATAGAGAATCAAGTCGTCAGCAAAGAGGAGGGAATGAATGGCAGGACAACTGGGCCCCAGGGAGATGCCGGTAAGATTTCTGTTGTGCAGCTCAGATGGAAGATGGATGGACAGTTCATTAATAGCAATGACAAAAAGGTACAGCGACAGGGGGCAACCTTGGCAGATACCACGTTGAGAGTGAAAAGTGTCAGAAGGCTCTCCGTTGACTAGAACTGCAAAAGACGGAAACGAAATGCATGCATGAATGAGATTAATAAAATGACCATGGTACCCCTGACGTCGAAGAGCCGCCTCAATAAAGTCCCATTCAATGCGATCAAAAGCCTTTGCTAGATCTAACTTCAGAATAAAAGCCTTCTGGTCCCAGGTTTTTAAATTAAAAGAATGGATTATTTCCTGAGTGATGATAACATTAGAGAAAAAATGTCTATTGGTAATAAAGGCTGCTTGGCATGACTAATAGAGTTAGGAAGATGAATTTTAAGCCTATTAGCTAAAGACTTAGAAATAATTTTATAAATGACATTGCAAAGGCAAATCCTGAGGAAGTAAAGGCTGATCCTTTTTAGGTATGAGAGTGATGTAGGTTTTGTTAATATCATTAGTGAGTTGAGCCGTGTAGAATTCAGTTACCAGATTGTGCACATCCTGCTAAATCCAAGGCCATGCCAATTTGTAGAATGCCGCGTTGAGGCCATCCGGACCGGGGGCAGCATTGTTCCTCATCTGCTTTACAATATCATGCAGCTCTTGCATATCTGGAATAGAATTAGTATAAATGTCAGTAGCCGGTGAATTAGGAGACCCTTCCAGAGAGTTAGGAACCTGTACCGAATTAGGATTATGGCTGTGGTCGGTGGTAGGCAAAGGAGAAGAGTCAGTCGGACTTGGAGGGGTGGGGTTCGGCTGCTGAGGAAATTGAGGCTGCTGTTGATGCTGGTTTTCGGAAGTGAAAATGGATTGGAAGTAGTTAACCAGAGTGCTGGCAAGTTGATCTGGGGTGGTGGACTGAGAGCCATCTGGGTTCTGAAGGTGGGTTATATGGTTCTTCCTATTTCTTTTGATAATGGAGTGGTGAAAAAAGGTAGTATTGCGGTCACCATGAATAGCCCAATCCTTTTTAGCTCGCTGGATGTGGTAAGCTTCCTCTTTGGCAAGGAGATCGTGGTGGTGATGGGTGGGTTGCTGTTGCAGGGAATGATTTTGCTGGCTCGGATGCTTGGTTTGTTCCTGCAAAAGCTGATTTTCAATGGCTGCAAGTTGGTCAGAATTTCTGGGCTTACCTCTTCTCCACTTACGTAAATCAGAAGCAATGAAACTTGTTTTTTGGGTAAAGGTTCTAGAAGCTGATCGCTGCCAACTTTGCTTAGCAACCGTGTGGTAATCCTGTTCCATCAACCACCAATTCTCAAAACGGAAAGGTTTATTAGAGCGAAATCGATTAGAGTGAAGAACAGCAAGAACGGGGGTATGGTCACTGCGGAGCATTGGAAGATGGTAGATTGTAGTCGTCGGAAACGCCAAGCACCATTCCGCATTTCCTAAGCAGCGATCAAGTCTTTCATATGTTGGCTTTGTGCTGAAACGTTTGTTAGTCCATGTATATGCCGGACCATTATAACCCAAATCAATGAGACCACATTGCTTAACATGAGCACAGAAATTTGCAATACGTCTAACATCAGTTTTCTTAGGACCTAACTTTTCATTGACATGCATAATATTGTTCATATCCCCCATACAGAACATAGGCAAGTTGCGATTATGTACAACAAAATTTTGCACTTGACTCCAGAGTTCATCAGTGGAACGGTGATGGGGGTCACCATAGATGCATATAAGATCAAACTGCTTCATGCTTTGTTTATTTAGACACATAGCTAAGACATAGTGATGGCATGAGTCTACAACAGAAAGGTCTACGTCGTCGTTCCAGATTAACCAAAGGCCACCAGATTGGCCTTGCGCTGGAACTACGAATGCATCACAAGAGTAAAAACGGTTCATAAGAGCAATCCTACTAATAGTAGAGTTTCTGGTTTCAGAGACGAAGCATACCTGTGCATTAGTGGAGGAGATGAGTCGAGCGAGGTGGGTCATCTTAGAACTGCGAAGGCTCCCGCCCGAGCCTCGGAAGTTCCAGGCTAGAAGGCTCATGGCCCCCGTGGCGCCTTGTAGGCTGGCGCCTGAGCCTGAGTACGAGCCTACTGGAGAGCCTGCGCTTTAGTTGAACTGAGCAGGCGGGCGAGGTGCGTCATCAGGGGCGTCGCCGCTGCTCAGCCGATGGAGGCCAGAATCGCCAGCACTAGCCGCCGAGAGAGAGGAAGCTCACTGGTTCCAGCACTCAAGAGCACTGAGATGCAGTCTTCCTTCCTAATCGGAGCGACATCGCGACATCTGACACGACAAGCACCTCACAGAGCCCAGCACCAGGTGCGGCAAGCCTCCCAGCCAGAAGCGACGGCACCAAGCAGGAGCGACGCCAAGGCGAGCGCCTCCTAGGGGAGGTAGCTCATCTCTTCAGCGGGACGGAAGAAACGACGTCAGGATTCGATTCAATCCAGAGATGAGTAGATCGGCTCAGATGTCGATTTGGGGTTGGATATAGAGATGGATGCAAGCGAGGATCGGATTCGATGGAGGATTTGATGTTGAGGGAGGAAGAGGAGCGACAGAGCACCTACAATCCCAAACGAGTCTTGGCCAGATGACAATCTCAGTCGTAGTTGAATGGATGGATCAGTAGATCAGCTAGCAGATGGCGATCTAAGATTGAATCTTGGCTGAGAAACAAGGGGGAAGAGGATTGGGGAAGAAGGGGATCAGAAGAGGAGGTAAACCGGCATACGCCTACTGCTCTCACCACGGAGACTCCCAGGATCGCTGCCACCCACCGCGTTAGGCTGCCAGAGCTAATTATCTGCTGAATTCAGCGAGAGATCTGTCAAACAATTTTTTCAAGAAATTGTAAGATGAATCTCAAAAGATAAGGAGACACTAATTTCGTAAAGTGATTCTCTTCGACGAACTAGGAGGCTGACGGTTTTAAAAAAAATAGCTTCTTTTTATTCTATAAAGTGATTCTTCATCGTGATTTTAAGAGTTTAGGCTAAAGAATAAAAAAATCACTTTTACTCATAGAATCACATCTATCATGTAATCAGTTTTCATAGAGAACCAAACGAAACTCTACCAAACAGGCCCTAGGTTTTGGCCCGGCGAAGCGCTTCGACGATTGTTATACATAAGATGATCAAGAGGGGATGAATTGGATTAA